TCCATCCCCGCCCAAACGTAAGTGCCTGCGAAAACGCCGATATGGGTGCGAGTTATAGCATATTCCTATATAAACAATGTTATGTTTTGCTTTTTAGTGGCTTACATCGATTTTGTTCTAAAAATAACGCAAAAAATCAGCATACAGTGATGTTACTTAAACTTTTACGCCTAGTTTCCTTTATAATAATACTGCAATTTCATTCATGCAACATATTTCTTGGTCAGTTTTGTGACGTTTTGGAAATATAGTGCGGCAGAAATCAAAAGTTTGTTGTGAAACGACCTCCAGCCTCAGCAGGTCACGGTTAACCCTCGCCCCGTTTGGGGGTGGGCAATATAGCCCCTGTGTATTTTCCTGAATAGCAAGAAAACAGCGGCGCGCAGCCCCGCCCAAATTTTCAATTGCTTCCCGGGCATCAATTTGACACCTTCACACAGAACTTCAAGTCTTAGCTTAACTTAGGTCAGGAGTTATTGGGGTCAAACTGAGGTCATGTTCGAGCAAAAATGAGCAAAATAAATCTTGAAACGCTCACAATAGCTTCAGTTAACAAGCAACTTCAAAGCTCTCTATCTGGTCGCGTAGAGCAAAGACGACGCTACAAAGCTGCAATCTGGGATTTTCAAACTTTTGAGCTTTTGACCCCCGAAATGGAAAAATTGGTCTGTTATAAAATAAAAAAGTTTTTTTCCGAGTAAAAAAAAAACGGAACATATATGATAGTCCCTGCTTTCTTCGATCTACATAACAAATTGTAGATGGATACCTCCTTTTTTGGCCAAGTTATAGTGAAAAGGCTGTTCAAAACTGATGACGTCAAATTTTCAACTAAATTTTTAACAATTCATCTACACCTTTTTAGGCGCAATTTCAAAAATTTAAAGACCAAATTCAAAAAGTTTACATTCAAAATGCACGTGAACGTTTTGAATTTGGTCTTTGACTTTTTGAAATTGCGCCTAAAATGCTGTAGACCACGTAGCGCAAAACAAAGACCACCATTAGACTTCCCGTGACGAGCTGCATCGAATCGATACCCATTTTATGAAAAATATCAAATTAGAAATTTGACCTAATTTGACCTGACCTTTACCTGACCTTCACCAGAAAATAACCCAAATTGGCCCCAAGGATTGCCTGACCCGCATAATCGCATTTGTCATGTAAAATGGACCAGAAAACATGCATCACATAATAGTTATCTTCATATTGTGACCCTCAGTGACCTGACCTCTGTGACCTGACCTGGTAGGTATCAGTGACCCCAAATAGCAAAATATGTGTTTGACGAACAATTCCCAATCGAAAATTGTCATTCATCGACTCCATATCGATGAATGACATGCATTTTACTCCATTTTACAACACATTTCTTGAAATACCTGTAAACGGTGAAAATTCGACATTTGACCTGAACTGTGACGTCATCGGTTTGACCGATGTCAATGAAATTGAGCCAAAAGGTATTTCCTCGTTGGGGCCATCAAACACCGTTTGCTGCTTGTCGTTATTTTGCGTGATCTCGAGATCTTTGGGGGGGGGGGCAAAATGCCCCCCCCCCCCAAGGGACCGATGCTCGGGAGACCCTAACGGGGCGCGGGTTGACAGAATTGCTCCCAAGAAATAATATTACAGTCGTCTCCCGGCCTCAATGGTAAGCGGCTAAAACTTTGAACGTCTACCTATGAAGTATGAATCGGCACGCTGCCGGCTCACCCCGCCCCATGGCTACGGGTGGCCTTGACCGTTCAATGCCGATTGGCCAACGGCCGAGGTCGTGCGCTGGTTAGCTGGTCAGCACTCAGAGAGGACGGGACGCGGTACTGCACATTGTGTGTGACCTCTGACCTTTCCCCGTCCCCTGACCGCATGCCGTGTTGCCGGCCCAGACGATAGAAACCGATTCTAGCCTCTACGCAGGCTGCCACTCTGACCCTTCCCTCCCCACTTTACTATGTGCCGTAGTACGCGCTCGCGAGTAACTGGGCGAAGCAAATGGTCACCGATACAGAGGCGGAACTGGTTGCCCTCCCGCTCGCCGAGCGACCTACCGCTAAAACCCGCGAGACCTGTACCTACCTAACCTACTGATTTTTCATCATGTGACATGTGCTGTCAGCTGTTTTGCTATGCATGAGTGTTCCTTGCTGGCCTTTCTTGGCCTCCACCATCATTTGAACCACACAGACCATATTAATTTTAACAATGAGAAGCCAAGAAACACTAGCAGGCTGGCAGCTGCCTGATGGAAAAAAGAAATTGTGGGCAACAGGGTCCTTAGGCATGTCACTAACATAGTATCCATTGTATGCATGCTGGTGCTATTTCAATTCCGTGGGCCTTGTAGCTTGTAAGTTAGACTGAAGGCATCTCTAGGGTAGGGTAGGATATCAGGCAAGGCTGTGCCCAAGGACAGATGAAAGGATTGATTCAAAGGTTGATCAGGCCTGTGTCTCGCCTCTCAATTCCCTCTGATCTATTCTCTAGACTTTATCATCATCCCTTCAGATTCCATTCCAGGTTTGATGGTCACAAGCATCCATTGCTAGAATGCAGTGCCAATTTCTCATGAGGCTTTGTGGGTCCAACTCCTAACTCCTAACATGGTGCCATGCTGGACTGCTATGCTGGCACATTTTTCATGAAAATGATTGTAAGAAATTGACCAGGGAAAATTGACCTTTTATTGCAGTTTTACACATCAAAAATCAACATTTCTAAATTTTGTGAATTAGTTTTAGGCCTTGCCTGGTGTGGGTTGCTGTCTGCTGAAGACTGGTCACACCAGCTGGTGGGTGTTGACTCTGTTGCCATGCTTTGCAGCAGGGCTGCGGAGTCGATGGATTTTCGGCGACTCCGACTCCGACTCCGGCTTTCAAAAACCAGCTCCGACTCCGACTCCGGGCAGAATTGCCGACTCCGACCGACTCCAACTCCCGACTCCGACTCCGCAGACCTAGCAGGGCTGCGGAGTCGACAGATTTTCGGTGACTCCGACTCCGACTCCGGCTCGGGTTTCTAGAATCGACTCCGACTCCGACTCCGACTCCGGTCACAACTGTCGACTCCGACCGACTCCGACTCCGACTCCGCAGCCCTGCTTTGCAGTCTGCAGGCTCCTCCTCAGGAGTATGCTCACATGCTCACATGTGAGCATCACATGCATGTGATGGGCTGACCTTAGCACACCTGAGTGCCCTGTCCTTCACTATGGGCACACCATGGTGGCTGCCCAGACCAGACCAGTGTCCTCCCCTTTATGTAATTCTAGGATCCTTCCACCTCTGAACTAATCTCATTTGACCAAAATAGCTTTACCCAGCAGGAAAGTGTTCCCAAATGAAAAGTCAGTATAACAAAAGCAGTCCTTTTCTCCTCCTTTGGTATTCTTAAACCCGCGCCCCGCGGGGGGGGGGCAGAATCTGCCCCCCCCCTCCCGTTTTTCGCCAATAACTTCTAAACACGTTACGCCAGCGACGTGAAACTTTCAGTACCTTATTATACATCAATTTGACACGTTCCCTGAAAATTTGAGCGAAATCGGTTGGAAATTTTTTTGAGAAAATACGTTTTAGTGACGTCATATTCGCCATTTTCGCCCAAAAAACGGCAAAATTTCAAACGCCGCTAACATCTTCAGTTTAAAAGGAATCAAGACGTAACAAAAGAGGTTATACGTGATTCAACTTTGTCTATCAAATGGCTATCTCGGTTTTTTGAAAATTTTGGATTTTGGCCCAATTTTTTTTTTTAATTGACTATTTGGGAAAATAATTATAAAATCCAAAATTTCGAGTGTATCAAAAAACCTAAACATATTAGAGAAGTGGTCTATGTGCACCTACATACCAATTTTCAGAAGAATCGGTTCAAAAATGTGGGAGTTATTCAAAATTGTATGACGTCAAGACACACAAAATTTTTGAAATATGATTTTTTTAAGTTCTAGACCTCGCACGGAAACAAAATAGCACCATTCGATTCGCCGCAAAAAAAAACTACATCAGATAGACACCTTTTTATGCCTTAACGATCAACTTCAAAATTTGACCTCAATTGACCTGACCTTGACCTGACCTCGACCTGAAATTCATCCAGAGGTGGCCCATATCACTTATTGAGTCTGCCTATTGAATTATATGAATAAAATGACCCATAAAACATGTGTCGCACATGCCCTTTTCTATATTTTGTTTTTGGTGACCTGACCTGACCTGACCTTGACCTTGACCTTTGAATGATATTGTATGCAACGAATAGTGTCTTGGTAGCCTAAGAACACGTTTTGGGCAATCAGTCTCAGTCCATTCTTTGGCAACTACGGTGCAAGGCCGATAATGTAGAAACTTACATTTTGTACCCTTGACCTGACCTTGACCTGACCTGACCTCTGACCTACTTAAGCAAAAAAAAATTGGGCTCTTAAGATTCGCCTTGTTGAGAGCTTTCGATTGCCGTTTTCCCCGTCTTCCTACGACCATCGGTTCGGAAGTTAGACGGGGGGGGGGCAGAATCTGCCCCCCCCCCCCCGCCAGCAGGGCGCGTATGGCTGAATAGCCCAGCGGGGCGCGGGTTAAGGCACAGTGCAGCGCGGTGAAGACTGGCCCGTGTCGGCCGTCGGTAGGACTGAAAATTGCAAAATGAAGCATTCAGACCAGGATCTCTCGGCTGGAGAGGTTGCAGGATATTTGCGGACCATGTGGGGTATTTGCGGACCAGGGGCCTGGCTGGTAACGTTAATTATTAAATAGTTTATCCATGGTCATACTCTTTGACCCGCTCTAAATGAGGACGTCCAAGTGCAGCTGTACTCTGCACATAGAACAGACGATCCGCCGCGTGCCATGCGGCCGGTGTGTAAACGTCACCGACAGGACGGGGGTCTCGGCCTGTGAGGCGCGCTCAGCAGAGGATGTGGCGTGATGCGAACAGCTGTGGGAGGCGTGTCCGCTTGACGAATGGCTCCTCGCGAGCATATCGTAAACACAGGCAGAGGTGCTGACTAGCGAGACGTCGGGGGCGGTCGGAGACCGTTCTCAGAATGCTGAGTCTAGTGTTTACAGGTTTGCATATGTCATGCTTACGGTTTCTGATGTCATGGTGACGGCTTCTGACGTGTAATTCCCTCATGTCCCGCACATGGAGTAATGGCTGCTCAATGAATTGACAGATACAGGACGTTATAGTCATCCTCTCCGCTATGAGCATTTTGGCGGCTTGCTTCGATGAGGAAAACTTTTGTTCGTTGAACAAAATAAGTATTGTTCATAGGCAATCCTGATCCTCGAGGCTCGAGCCAACCAATTGGCCATTTGAGTCGTCTGTCTTTTTTCCTCCTGCCCTTTGCCTAGTAAAGATTTTGATTTGGTCAGTGAAATGATAAATAGGCCGTTTTCGTATGGCGACCTACGCTCTGTATTTTGCACCTCCATTGAGTCCCGGACCAAAGTTCGGCTATCTCCTGGACGGTATCCACGCCCCCTGAGTGCAGTGGCCTGTGTTTGGATAGCGGCCTCTGGCTCTGCTCGCCGGCTCAGTCGCTCACCACGCGGTCGTCGGTGACAGTCGCCGGCTCTGCTCGCGCTGGGAGGCATCGTTGGTAAGGACCGCCGTGCTCCGATCGACTCCGAGGGTCCGGTTTCCAGACTGGGTGCTCCTGTTTACAATGGCCGTGCATGTGTACAGTCGGGTATAACATAGCGCCGTAATGCCGCGGGCAGTGATTGAATTCCAGACTCCGTGGGCCTTAGTGCTCCGATTCTAGCTCGGATGTACCGTTGGCGTGCCTAAAGTCAGGCGAGGTAGCATTTTGTTGGTCTCGGCAGGCACGCTCGTAAGCCGCTGAGTTTATTGCCGACTCTAAAGGTAAAGGTAATCTCGAAAATTTCACATTAGATCAAGGTGACTACCTGACCGAAGAGTTTAATAATGAACTGAACGTCAGTTGATTTATCACTCATATTCAGATGAAAACACGACAGTTAAGATCATGTCTTTAGAAAGGCCTTATTAAATGTTTGGGCAGTAAACGGTTTCTGGACGTTCATGAAGTTAGACGTCGCATTGCCTCAAATGTGTGCGGAGATTTCGAATGTCCCAATTTCCAACCAGGTAGCCAATAACGACTAGTGACTACTAAAGCGATTTTGAGACTGTTTAGAATGAACTTTGTCATTTGTGCAAAGAGAAATGGATGAAATTCCATCCATTGACTTCCTCTTCAGTTACGAAATCATAAAGCAGTCTTCCCCGCAGTAGCTGACTGACAGCCGAGCACCCGTCCACTTCCCCTGCTTCCACCACCTCTACCACTCTCAGCAGCCTCTTGTGCCCCTGCCGTTACAGAGAGGATGGCGCCGATGCCGCCGACGCCGACAGTGCCGCCGTCGGAGCCGAATGGACTGCGACGGCGCAGCCGCACCCTGTCGAGCCACTCGCTGGATCCGGCCGACTTTGTGCGTCCCGACCTGCCGTCCAAGTGCAAATGGAAGCCGGGAGCGCCCGTCTCTGACAGCCCGCACAGCAAGTGCCCCGTGTGAGTACAATGTGCGCCCGGGGGAGGGGGGGGGGCTGTTTCGTGAGCTGAGTGCTATACAGTCGAGATAGTAGAGTCGCAGCTGTACATACATACAGAACTGACCCAATTGTAATATGTGGCACTGGCATCATCCTTAACAGGTCTCAGTTGTGGATTTTCGCACTTATCGGGCGCTTTGTTCCCAAGACATGCATAAATTTGACTTAGTTTTCGAAATTTACTTATGCTTTTCTGGGCCGACCTAGCCATACTGTCATATAATTTGCTTATTTTTCGATGGACAGCCGATCGGTAATGGTTTTTCCAAGTGGAAAACTACTTTCATATCCAGACCAATTGGCAGTGGAAATGTACCACTTGGCACCGACAACACCGTGAAGCCCCGTTACGTCACATACGCTGGTTGTCATTGCCTAACTCACAATGTATACAATATAAACCAGACTTCCTCAATGTCTCACCTTTCACTGCTGAGCAGTTTAAATGTTGGAGCAGTGTAGGACAGCGGTATTTATTGGAATCGCTAGTATGTTCATTTGTTAACGCTCCTTCATAAACAATATGTAACTCTGACGCTTACATGTTTTGATAACGGCCCCGAGCTTATCCCACCACTCGTATGATGTGTCACTTTCTATTCATGTGGAATACCATCTGTTTTTCAGCCGAGATGAGGTTAAGATCATGCCGAACATCTTACACCAGATCGGCCGAACACCAATGGTGCGGCTGAACAAAATCCCGCAGAGCCTCGGTATCAAGTGCGAAGTCTGTGAGTTATCTGCTTGATTTTAGATTTTAGTGGCATTTTAGTCGTGTTCTATCATTGTAGAACATATGGTGCCGCTTTGCTGGATTTTTGCTAGAAACTCTTATGTAAAGGCTGCATTTTTAGCCGCCTTATGTTGGCATTAATACCGAGCACTCTGCTCTTTTCTCAAGATACACTTATATCAACGCTGCTGGATTTTCCGTAGCGTAATTGACGCTTCAGGCCAAATATGTATTCAGCAACTAGACTGGCCCAGCGAGTGATGAAACCGTGTAGTTTGTTTCCGTCCGTCTGCGTATTATCCCTTGCACGTTCCCCGGAAAGTAACCCGGCCTTTTTTCCATCCCACATTGCGACAGTGGTCAAATGCGAGTTCTTCAACGCCGGTGGCAGTGTCAAGGATCGTATCGCCCTGAGAATGGTCGAGGATGCCGAGAGGGACGGCCTCATCAAGGCCGGCTCGACACTCATCGAGCCCACCTCGGGCAACACAGGTGCGGGCGGGGGAGGGGGGGGGGCGGTTGTGGGCGCGTGGGACTACGGTGACAGCTGCCGTGACGGGTACTATAAAGGATATGACGGCAGGACTGACAAGCAGTACGCCCAGGTGTGCGCTGTCCTGTCTGTTTAGTGATACCGATGAGTCTTGAACTGGTAGTGTTGCTGTATATGGAACGTAATGATTTTATGAAATATGCTTATTTTATGGATTGTTTTAGAGGGGATAGCATAAAATAAACGTACCGGAATGCTTCAATGCTTTATTGCTACCATTTTATCTGTATTATTCATTTTATATATGTCATTTGCACCTGTCAAGCGTCGAAACTGATCGGAATGAGAGTTTAGAATGCCCGTCCATTTAAATCAGTTTTGCAACATAATGCGATATTTTACCCGCAGCTGTCCGGAGCTGCCTGCTCACGGCTTTATTTCACGTTTAACCCCTCCCCGCCCCCAGGAATCGGTCTGGCGCTGGCCGCCGCCGTCAAGGGCTACCGCGCCATCATCGTGATGCCGGAGAAGATGTCCAACGAGAAGGTGGCAGTGCTGCGCGCGCTGGGAGCCGAGATTGTGCGCACGCCCACATCCGCCTCGTGGGACGCTCCTGAGAGCCACATCTCGGTGGCACAGCGACTGCAGAAGGAAATACCGGACGCCATTATTCTGGATCAGTACCGTAACCCGGGCAACCCGCTGGCTCACTACGATACCACCGCGGAGGAGATTCTGCACCAGTGCGATGGACGTGTCGATATGGTGGTGCTCGGTAAGGAGGGGGCGAGAGATTTGTTGGTAATGAGGCCACATGCGTTGGACGCTGATCGCCTTGGCGCGATTAGCTATATGTTGTCAGACTGATACTGGTGTTCAAGTGCATTCCCGAAGTTATTGCTCTGTGTTACTCTTTTGCTGACTCGCCTCAACTTTGTCAGAAACTTACGATTTTTGTAGGATTCCTCATTCCACACGGCAATCGACCATTGGCCATTTTTGTCAAGTGGGGTACTCGCGTGCTCCTACTACTGACACTCGCACCACTGACACTCCTGTGTATCATTCCCAGGCGCGGGTACCTGCGGCACCGTATCCGGGGTGGGCCGTAAGATGCGCGACGCCGGCGTCAACTGCACAGTGGTCGGGGTCGACCCGCACGGCTCGATCCTGGCGCACGAGCCGGACGAGGTGGTCGAGGGACAGTTCTACGAGGTGGAGGGCATCGGATACGACTTCTACCCAACGGTGCTCGGTGAGTGAGGTACTTGAGGGGGGGGGGGGGGGAGGGATATGTCAAGGTCCGTACGCTATTCTGGAGATGTTATGATGATAGTGCTGGCAGGCATTTAGTATGGTTTTGCTTTCATTGACTCAGTAATCGTTCAGTAATAAGCAGGGTTCAATGTTTTTGAAGCATGGATGGATATCGCTGAACCATGTCTTGCTTTTTGTGAAAGGTCTTTTGTATTTGGCTTTAACGTTTGCTTCGGAAGGATTTCAGCTTTTAGGGTCAAGGCTAAGAAACTGGAGCAATAATATATTTCCTTTACTTTGTCGGATCCTGACATTGGATTTCTATTTCGCTGTTTAACTCGGTGAATCTATAGTATGCTTTGTTTCCGACACCCGTCCACTGATCGCCGCTGTTTTTTTTTTTCAGACAAGTCCGTGATAGACAAGTGGATCAAGTGCGGCGACAAGGAATCTCTGCTGATGTGCCGCCGTCTGATCCGGGAGGAGGGGCTGCTGTGCGGCGGCAGCAGCGGCTCGGCCGTCTGGTCAGCAATGCAGGTACCTGACTGGATGGTCCCTCATTCCCTCTCCTTTTCGTAATTCCCGTCTAGGGTAATGTGGATGTCAGAGTAGTAAAGTAATCTTGGGTGTCAGTACTACCAGGCTAGACGAGGCGGTGAAGTAGCGTATTTACTCTACTCGGTAAACCAATATCTGGACAAACCGCTGGTTTGTGGCGTCATGATATACTGTTCATTATAAGGTAGGCAAGGGACCTCTGCTCGAACCGAGGGAGAATCATTACCATCACTGGCAAGTCTTTATGCACGTTTCTCTTCCTCGTTGGTCTTTGATGTATCGTGTGCTATCACCCGTCACTGTAGTTTTGCCCATTCAAGCGATACTGAGTTCCCACCATTTCTCCCTCCCACGTAGCTGGCCAAGGACCTGCCGGCCTCGGCGCGCGTGGTGGTCATTCTACCCGACAGCGTGCGGAACTACATGACAAAGTTCGTCGACGACGACTGGATGGCGGAGCGCCAGTTCACTGACGGCACAGTCAGTACCGACAAGGATACCTGGTGAGAGAGCGGGGGAGCGAGAGAGAGGGAGAGAGAGAGAGAGAGAGAGAGAGAGAGAGAGAGAGAGAGAGAGAGAGAGAGAGAGAGAGAGAGAGCGTGGGTCGCTGTGGGTGTCTCAAAGGTGGCGGGGAAGGAAGGCTCGGGCTGCTAGGTCAAGTGTGGTTGAATGCTGGATTAGCTGGACTAATGTATGTCTAGAGAATGGGCGAGACAAAAGTGGTGTGGTTAACATTCGTTTCTGTGGTACCTAACCGGGAGGTCTTTATTGGTGTGAGCCGTGAGGTGTCTAACAAGAATAAAATATATTAAACGCTATGCCGAACTTGATGCAGTTTTTTATGTAATGAGTATGGTGATATTAACGACGATACGCCTGATTTACTACTTAACACTAAATTTGGGTGACAATCAAGTATGTCTAAGTAAGATTTGGTTCTATAAAGCACGGCTGGCATGCGATTAATCTGTTTTGAGTGCGGAATGATTTCGGTCAGATGCGAGGAAAATGGTCACAGGTGCATGACTGAACAACCACATTACAAACGGATTTTGTATTGAACGTCTGTTCCAAATCCGCCTCCAAATGTCAGAAAGCTTTGAGCTACAATATTACGCATAATTTCAGCGTAAGATACTGCGCGTAGGCTAATGCTGGTAAAATCGTGTTTGTTGCATTTGACATTGACTACATACACGTATCTCACTAAAAAAGTCATTTTAGGGACCCTTTCAAACAAAGAGCGGGTTTAGCGTATCACCGTACGTTTACGCAATACGCATCTGCTGGTGTGACGAAAACGCACGCGTGCACAAGCCCGACCATTCTAAATTATACGTCTCTCTGAATTGTCTTAATTATCACATTTTGTGACAATATCATATTTTTATTTCGAATGAGCTGACAACTCCAGTTTTTCCGTTGTTTTGTCTTCTTTTTTTTACTTCCCTTTGTTAAAGTTCTACATCCTTATCCTTCCAGGCGGTGGGGGGGGGGCATTTTTTTGCCCCCCTTTACTTTTTTCGATATATCTCGAGAACCGCTGCGCCGATCGTCACCAAACTTTCAGTACCCTCCCGGGAGCAGCTAGCGCACATGGTGACCAAAAATTTTTCCAAAGGCTATGATAGGTTGGCCGCTAATGACGTAAGAGTGACGTCATTTTTGCCATTTTCGACCCAAAAAAAGGTTTCGCGGGAAGAGCTGTCAGGCCTACAGCTTTAGAGATACAGAAAAATGTTTTAGACATAAAAGGTGTGGAATCAAAAGGGCTACAAAACTGCTATTTCGGTTTTTCGAATTTTTTGGATTTTGACCCCAAAAATCAAAAAATAGATTTTTTGAATATAATAGCCAAAAAATCCAAAAAGTTTTTTGAATTTCGAAAAAACCGGAATATATGTGATAGTCCCTACCGCCTTCTATCTACATACCAAATTTGAGATCGATACCTCGTTTTTTGGCCAAGTTATAGCGAAAAAACTGTTCAAAATTGATGACGTCAAATTTTCAAACTCAATTTTTAGCAATTCTAGACCTCGTAGCGCAAAACAAAGACCACCATTAGACTCCCCGTGACGAGCTGCATCGAATCGATACCCATTTTATGCAAAAATATCAACTTTGAAATTTGACCTTTTTTTGACCTGACCTTGACCTGACCTCCACCAGAAAGTGACCTAAACCGTACCTGATGGTCTTATAACCAGGGCTGCGGAGTCGATGGATTTTCGGCGACTCCGACTCCGACTCCGACTCCGGCTTTCAAAAACCAGCTCCGACTCCGACTCCGACTCCGGGCAGAATTGCCGACTCCGACCGACTCCAACTCCCGACTCCGACTCCGCAGACCTAGCAGGGCTGCGGAGTCGACAGATTTTCGGTGACTCCGACTCCGACTCCGGCTCGGGTTTCTAAAATCGACTCCGACTCCGACTCCGACTCCGGCCATAACTGTCGACTCCGACCGACTCCGACTCCGACTCCGACTCCGACTCCGCAGCCCTGCAGTTATAACCAACACCATTGAGTTGGAAATGAAAAACTGGCCATAAAACATGCATCACATCACCTTAGTAAAGTTGGGCTCATGTGGTGACCCTTGGTGACCTTTGGTGACCTGACCTGTGACCTGAACTGGTATGACCAGTGACCTCTAATAGCAACATATGTACTAGACAACTGACGCCTTATCGCTGATTTTCGACAAAATGCGTTTTACTCGGTGTTATAGCGCTTTCCCTAGAAGCCCTGTGAACGTTGAAACATTTTATCTTTGACCTGACCTGTGACGTCATCGGTGACCCCGAGGTCAATGAAATTTGGTTTCCTTCGACAAATTTGACAGGGCTATCGAACGCCGTTTGAATTTTCCGGATCCGTCCAGTAGTTTCGGAGATACGGGGGGGGGGGGGCAAAAAAGTGCCCCCCCCCCCCCACCGCGTGGAAGGTGGCTGGTAGGCCCACCGCCTGCCGGGTTATGAAAGCTATGAAACCAGACCAGAGGCGTATTATCATCGTTAATTGTACTGTAATGGTACTTTGTGCCTTTTTGATGAAGTCCATTCGACGCCAATTTCCGTGCGTTTTACTTTTCATCTCAGCTGTTATCCCACGCCTGTTCACGGGATGTTGCATCTAATATACTAGCATGTGGCGTTGCACCCTCGAACCGCGTTTTGCCCCATCTGACCCAGTGTGTTCGTGCTGTACTCTGACGTACCCGTCTGCCCGGCCGCGCCCTGCTGCGGAGTTAGCTGGTAAGCCAGTCTGGGTCGCACCGCCAACCCGCCTGTCCGCAGCTTGGCCAGTTTTATTTCGCTCTGCTAGTCATGACTTGGGGCACCCTTGAGCACCTCTAGTTACCACGCTGCCAGCCGCAGCCATGGCTTATTTGCACATACCGGCCACCGGGTGGCGCGAACATACATAGCGGGGCTTTGATTAATGCACGCTCGGCAGACTGGCTGCATAGCGCACTGCTTAGCAGACTGGCTGTGAATAGCAACCCGAACACGGCTTACAGGCTGTAATAATTTGGGAGAATGATGTAATAAATTATGGAAGGGCACATGGATTAGTCCTGAGATTAGGGATTTTGTGTGTAATACATATCGGTGTTGTCTACGCATGCTTCTTATTTTTGTAGTTTAAATTATTTGGGGACTGTGCCTCATGAAACGGATTATGCCTCCCAAATCCTTTTACTTTATCTTATTACACTATGCAACAAAAAATGAAACATTTTCTGTTCCTGGAAAGCGACCGAATTTTTCTTATTCATTGGGTCCTATTATAACCGAAATGGGCATTAGTTTTGATCTGAAAATGCTTTTCCGGTTTTCAGAGACGATTTTCAATTTTTGGCTCCAAAATTCGGTTTTTGGCCCACCGTGTCCGATGTAATTGAGTAATCGACTCGCGGTAACTTTCATCGCCTTTCCTATGCCACAAGCTTTCGAATGATATCTGGTTTTGCATATTTGCTTGCAAAAATAACGTCATAAATCTATGTTAAAGTAAGAAAATGTTGAAATTTTGTAAAAATTTGACATTTTTTTCGATTTCATTTCAAAATAGAGGAAAAACTAAAGGCCCTATCCAAATTCTGAGCCCAGTTCCTTGAAGAGCATTCAATTTCCGTTCGGAAGGTACCTTTTTAGTGCATTTTATCGGATTCCTGTGGCGTCCAGATTGAGTTAACCTAAACACATATCCTAAGTCATATCACATAGCATTAACCTGATAACGTATGTTAACGCCATAGGATCAACGAGGGGTCAACTGAGGTCATGTTGTTGACCCCTTGTGACCTCGGGTCACACGCAGGAACTTACTTTTGAGCAGTCCTCTCGCTCAGAATCTTGATCTGTACCTCCATTTGTTAGAATGATTCTTCATGCACTGAACACATATTGTCATGGAAATGGCTGGGGGCCCGTTTTTCAAGTGACTCAATCTGGACGCCACAGTAAACCGATAAAATGCACTAAAATAGTACCTTCCGAACGGAAATTGAATGCTCTTCAAGGAACTGGGCTCAAAATTTGGATAGGGCCTTTAGTTTTTTCTCTATTTTGAAATGTAATCGAAAAAATGACAAATTTTTACAAAATTTCAATATTTTCTTACTTTAACATAGATTTATGACGTTATTTTTACACGCAAATATGCAAAACCGGATATCATTCGAAAGCTTGTGGCATAGGAAGGGCGATGAAAGTTACCGCGAGTCGATTACTGAATTACACCGGACACAGTGGGCCAAAAACCGAATTTCGGGGCCAAAAATAGAAAATCGTCTCTGAAAACCGGAAAAGCATTTTCAGATCAAAACAAATGCCCATTTCGGTTATAATGGGACCCAATGAGTCCAAAAAAATCAGTCGTTACTCAGGAACAAAATGCCTGTTGCATAGTGTTATATGCTTTTATTATACATATATGCTTTTTATTTTGTTTGTATATACATTTTTGTTTAAAGATTTTTCTACATGGTAATTTCCGTCTACACTCTACATTTACCGATTTACGGAAGAATCTGGCTATGGCCTTTTCACACGAAGTCGTGGCGTCGCCCCTACCAAACAAAAGTGGCGTGTCGACTACTCTCTCTACTCTAAGACTCGTTCCTCGGCTCGCCTACGATCTGTTGGCTGTGCCGGATCGTGGTCCGATTGCTAGGTCGCGCCCGAGCCATAGTCCACCACCGACGGGTCACCAATGGTTGACCTCCCACCGCCAACCACCGACCCCAATCCCTGACCGCTAACGTCCGCCTCCGACCCCCGCCAGGTGGTCGAACCTGAAGGTCTCTCTGCTCGACGTGGCGGCGCCGATGACGGTTCTGCCCAGCGTCAGCTGCCAGGACGCCATCGACATAATGAACGGAGAGGGATTCGATCAGCTGCCCGTCGTGGATCAGGCCGGGTAAGTTGCGTCGTCTTGACGGGCCTCGCTATTTCGAAGTTGCCAACGAGCGCTGGCATGACAAATCGCTTGTTCGACCGGCCGTTGGGCAAGGCAGCGTGATAGACTTGTTGGGTGGGTGTGCGCCCGTGTTTGCCTGCTGCCATCGGTTACCCGCTGTTCTTAAGTCAGGAGTAAACATAGGTTGCGCCGATATGATCTCATATATTGGATTGCCCTGTCGAATGCTGTATAGGAACGTCAGGTAGCCTTCTGACTTGATTTATGTGTCTTATATTGATGTGCCGTGTCAGTTCATCGTGAGGTCTCGGTAGTCGGTGGGGTGCCTCTGTAACGACGTCACTGATGTAGCGTCAGAACTGATAATAGTGACGTATCTGATGTGTGTTCCGACAGAGAAGTGCGTGGCATGGTGACACTGGGATCTCTGATGGCGAATATCGTCAGTCGGCGCGTCGAGCCGTCATCCACCGTCGATCAGGTAATACACAGAAGACGAATCTGTCGCAGCAACTTGCCGGCTTTCTTTTAACTATGTTCGAAACCAAATAGCTAAACGTGCCAAAGCGTTATCTCTAGTATGTAATGAATTTTCACTTTGCTGTCATTCTACCAGATGCGTTTTGCACCAATTTCTACCAACTTTCAGATGGCCAAGTATAATTTTCCCTGGTGGGTATCTACTATCTTGTTCCATGGGTATTCCATGCATACGTTTACCAGCAGCGTTACTCGGTACTACTTGTCCTTGAAACCCGTATTTCGACTTTTAGGTGCTGTACAGCCAGTTCCATAAGGTGCCTCTGGACAAGACACTGGGCACACTGTCCCGAATTCTGCAGAAGGACCATTTCGCGCTGATTGTGCACGACCAGAAGCTATGTGAGTATATTACCGTCACCTTGTCCCATATCCACCAAACTCCAGTCGCCTGAGCCGTCAGGATGTCTTATCAATACTTTCTATTTAAGTAAGCGTTGGCAACTCCGTGAGCCCAGATGGTTACATCTATGTAGAGGCAAGGAGCTTTTCCCTAGGCCAAACTGCTCCGGCGAACGCAGGCGATCCCTTACACACCACCGCGTTATCCGCTGACTCCCTCTCTGTCCCTATCCAACAGACGTGGGCAAGAACAGCATGGAGACCAAACAGGTGATCATCGGAATCGTCACTCAGATCGACCTTCTCAGCTTCATCATGGCTGGAGAGGAGGAGCGAGCCAAGACGTCGGGAGCTACCCAGTGAGTGGCCAAGTTATCTACTGGCCAGTACCACAGCGCGGCATCGTAGGAGTAACATCTGCTCCGCGGAGCGTCGCTGCAGCCATGTCCTATGATATTATTTCGGCCATGTGCAAAATGGAGCCTATCTGACCTTTATGTCAGATGGGCTGGCTAAACGGGTTGGGTCACTCAGCGACCAGGCTGGCCAGTTGAAAATGACTGCTGGAGAAACACGAGAAGGGCTGTGTGTGCTGTCTTTTTCAGGCAACGAGTGACTTTTCTGCGCCCGCACCCGCCATCTGACTGGCCGTTTAACGTTTGTACGCACCCTAGCCGCTCTTAGAGCGTCAGCTATTTTCAGAATTTCACTAGCGCGTATTGGTACCACACATTGTTGTCTTGTTACTACTCTGCTCAAGTAAAATTGCGGCTTCTTTTGGGCAGGGAACGGGAACCGCCCGTCTTGGGACCTTTGTTTTGAGAGGTTTTGATACCGTCGGTCGGTACAGCGCTCATACAGCAGGTCGTCTTACCGACACGGGAGCACCCTGCATACTTCGCTATATTATTTTGTTGCCACGTCAATTTATGGGCGCATATTTCGAGCTAGGCGTTGTCCGTGTTGTTAGTCGTTTTTAGACCCGAATTTTATCCGTACCTTACTGGAGACGCTCAATTTTGGTTTATTCTCAGAGTATGTACGCAGTGTGTTTGTAAGCGTTGTCTCAATTTGTGCCACAACTGGAATCTATGCACCTTTTGTGCACCTTCTCTGACAATAAACCATGACGTCGTGGGACACTGGCCTTTGACGGTGATGAAACGCGGAATCATGTAGGATAAGAGGCGCCAGGGTGCTTTTTGACCGCTTCGAATAGTTTCGATTCCTATTTCTGATAGGAAGAGAACAATCTCTCGCGTCCCAATTATTACACAGAAGACAAAGTTAAAATTTCTCTCCTAGCCGTATGCTGGTCATTCGACTCCCTGGCACAGCTTGGCTGAGACTGATCCCGAGTCACCCATCGACTTCCCCAGTCAGTGGTCGAGTATGGAGCGCCTGCGTGGATCGAGCCAGGGCTCTCGCCACTGCACCGGGAGTCGGAAATCAATCGACTTTGGGAAGAAGTTAGACGGTACGATCGAACTGGACCGGATCAATTTCCGCTCCGGACAAGTTCCTTGAGCGCTAACGGATGCTTGTTATGTGGACCAGACTTAGAAATATCAGTCTGTCGATTCGTGTCGCAAAGATGCGTGCACGTCATATTCACTTGCTGGGCAAATGTTGTCCCATCCAGTAGACGACAATTATGACTTGGCGATCCTGTCTTCCGCTATCATTCGAGCCCACACATGATCTGTAAGGAACGAGGACGACAGAGAAAGGAAGAGACAACATGATTCAAGCTCGCACGAAGCTTCCCTGCGTACCCGGTCACCAGTCGCCACTTGTCTCCCTCGAAGACACTCAACACACGCCTCCTGACACGTTACAGTGACGCTTGCGAAAGCTGTATTGAAAATAACGTCGGCAGCGCAGCATCACACAGTGTTGGCAGCAAAGATGTCGCTCCGACGACGCCGTGCGGAGCAATTCTCGTCTGATATCACAATCCGTATGTCGGATTCCAGTCGGTCTCGTCACGTTACAGTAATGTCTGACGTCACATGCAGTCACAAGTCCGCGGCGGTTACTCAGACTCTGTGACGCGGCAGTCCAGGGCTCGGCAACGCCGTAAGTTAGTCGACAGACCTCTGCTTGCTCGGCGCCTGGCACTCACCAGCCCCCACGCACCTCCCTGTGACCCCCTCAAATACCCCACCGCTCTCCGACTTCGCCACCGCTCGGTACACTCCATTTTAGGAAACAGACCACTTGGCACGCCCGCTGGTCTTTGAGCCGTCCAGCCTCGGGCCTTCACACCCCATCACTGAGCCTCCGGACGTCCTGCACACTCCGAGCGCCTCCGTCATCGGTCGTCAGTCGCCCGTATCATCGTCATCGTCATCCTCAGTGGCGGCGGCGGCGGCGGCGGCGGCGTGGGCGGCAGCGTGCGCCGCCGCCGCCGGCCGGCGTCACCATTTGCCGCGCTTGGACCAGTCTCGCGGCGTCCAGTGCAGGCCCTTGGCGTCGATGGTGCGCGAGCGTTTGCTCATGCTGCGCAGGTGTGTCTTGATGAGTTCTTTGTTGAGTGTGATGATGTACTGTCCCTTGTAGTAGTGGATAAGGTTCAGCCACTGTAGTGTTGAGATCACGTCGTCCTTCTTGATGCTGGTCAGCTCCGAGATCTCGCTGTCGGGAAAACGTGCAGGCGCGTCAGGGATATATTGAGGATACGAGTCATTTTGCGGCAGATTTGTCGTGCGCAGAGATATCCAGCATCCAGCACACTGAGCGTGAGGGAGGGGGGGGGGGCGTAAACTCAGAACAAAACAGCTGGAGTTAAGAAAATACGAGATTCCGGGAATATCAAAAGCTGATCCTAGCCATATTTTCTCGTCCTAAAACTGAACATGTATTTCAAGTATTTCAGGGATGTGACCCAAATCGCATCCCCTCTCAGCACACGGCACGTGCAGCCCGCCCATCCACCACTCCATCCCGCCCGCACCTGATTGTGATCTGCGGCGTCTCCTGACCCTCGAGCGGCTTTGTGTTGATGAGCAGGTCGAGAATCGCCTGGGACCAGTAGCTGCGGTACGACAGAAGACCCAGGTCCGAGAGAGGCTTCTCCGGCGAGCCCGTCTTGCCCTCAAACTTGGACAGCGCGTAACCTGGCGGGGGTGTGAGCGGTTAGCGTAAGGAGGGGCCCAAACAGGAACATAGCTCATCGATTGGCATGATTTCATTCCAAATTCACGCGTCGAGGGAACCAATTGCTTCGTCGTGATTAACCTCACAGGTTGGCCCGATGCTAAATACACCGAATACTATGAGCAAGAATGTCATGCCGAGGCCACAAAGGAAACGATCACCATGTATCACTTAGTAGGATGTATCGGTTCGCAGTTCCATCAACGTGGCTGATAAATGCTAAGCATATGTGGTCACCAAGTTGCAGTTTTTCGTCGCCTCTGTCAGCTCCGGTCCTGACTCACTGAACTCGATGAGCAGCCGGCCGTAGCCCTTGCGCTGGTAGGGCGGCAGCGCCAGGATGCAGGCCACGTTGTAGTCCTCTGTCGACTCCTTCTCCTTGCTGAAGTAGCCCACGATGTGGTTCCCCCTGCTGTCGCACTCGGTCATCACATAGAACAGGAACGGGTCCGTGTCGTAGTACAGTGTCTTGTGGTCGAGAAATAGCTTTGCGAGCAGGCACAGGTTCTGGGCGTACACTTTGTTCTTGCGGCCGTCCACCTCGAAAAACGAGATGGTGTTCTTCCGGTAGATCTCGTCGCCCGGTGGATGTTTTAGCTTGCACTTTTTCTGAAGAACGAAGTTAGGGAATTAATGAAAGCACAGTTGAAAAAGAAAATTTGGTCGTCTAGCTTTCCAGTGAGCGAGGGGAATTGGGAAATGGAGGCTGACTCAGCGGGGCAAACGATTTAACATTTAATTAAGCATGAGACTTAGAAAGGTTGTAGCAAAAAGTAAATGACAACCATTCCAACTGTCTAGCCGTCAATTCGTTAATTCAATGTTCATCCAAGCTTCCACAAAATACCATAAACATTGTACTTACGATGTGCCTTTCTAAACATTTTGAGCTTTTCCTGTACGCGAGGCAGAATTCACAGAGGTAGATACATCCCATTTTGGTCATTTCCTGAAACGACACAAATGCACGATCACAACCAAGCATCAAATTTAAACATCAAACAATGTGCACATTCTACTACACAGAGCTTTCATTACACAATACGTGCGGCGTACCTGCGTCTGTGACCCACCTGAGGGTAGGGCGCGAAGTACCAGGGCTTGATGCGGTGCTTGCCCAGCTCGATCATCTGGACGTTTTTGACGCGCGTTACCACGTCGTCCTGGTGGACGGCCATGCTGCCGGTGCGAGGCACCACGGACCCCGGCTCTCCGGGCTCGGGGACGCCGGCGTCTGAGGCGGCTGCCGTGCTCTCTCGCCGCTCCGACTTGACCACCGGCTGCGTCAGCTGGCGGAGAGGGAAAACAAAGGCTCAGACACCGGGATCAAGCTCACAGTCTGCACTGGCAGCGGACAGCGCTCACTTCGACTTGATCACCAGCTGGGTGAGCTGTCGGTGGAGAGGACACAAAGGCTCAGACATTGGGGCTGAGCTTACAGCCCGCGCTGGTGGCGGACAAAGAACGCTCTGGTTCGGGCAGGAAACACAGGCTCGGAATGGGTACACTTGTTTGAACAGAGGACACGGGTGGAAAGAGCATACTATCATAACTACTTACCGCAAATCAAATAATCTTTTTTTTATATTTTTGGTGCCGACCCGGGCTTTTGTCGTTAGTAGCACACATTCATACAGGGTTAGTACACTATATATGTTGCAGGCACTTTAGAAAATCAGTCATTTTGTAAAATGCCTAGGCATTTTGCAAAATGCCTGATTTTCCAGGCTTTTTGCAAAAAGCCTAGGCATTTTACAAAATGACTGACTCTCCAGTCATTTTGCAAAATGCCCAGGCATTTTACAAAATACCTAGCCATTTTACAAAATGACTGAGCAGCGTGTTGTATAGATACGAGTACCTAATTATATACGTTTTGGTAGCGTGTAGGCGGACCGAGGAGTCCAGCATTATGACCAGAGGAGTCCAGCAGTGGGAAGTCCATACCTACCTCTCTGATCTCTCTATTTTGAGAAGTGCAGGCCCGCGACATTTCCAACCCCCACGTCAGCGACGCTGCTGGATTTAAAATGATCGATCTGGAGCGTCAACAAACGACTGGCCCTATGCCGACCTGTATCTGTAAAACCATTAGAGGTCGCGAGGATTCGATCCCACACACTTAGGCGTTAGTGTCTTCTGAAACCAACGCTCTCGTCCTACGCCAAGCGACCTGATGATTCTCCCGATGTGGAGCTTGATATTTTTAACTGGGACCATGCAAGTAGGTACTCAAAGCTGTCAAACAAAGACTACACTCATTCGTTTACATGTAATTGTACATCAACCGGGCCTGCCTATTGACTAGGGCCGGTCTCCGGCTGGTTTTGTTAGGTCTAGTTCAGGCAGAACATGAACGGCGTTGATGTACTTGGGAGTTTTTACAGCGTTAACTAAACAATGCTTTATGCTACAGCCGAGTCTGCAACTCAACCTGGTCGTTACTCAGCATTGTCGTCATCACAGAGCTTCAAATCGATCAGCTACAAGCTGAACACGTACCTATAGGGTATAGGAAGACGTCCAATTACTGTATGCCTGGCCTATTCAAATACATTAGCCAGAGGGGTGTGGTAATAACTGGTGTAAGCAAATTGACCACGGTCAAAAATGCATTACCAGAATGCACTAAAGCCAACATTTTGGGATGGTCTCGTTCCTAAGTCGGCTAAGAGCTTCGGTCCAGAAAATAAATTTATCGTTGGCATACAGTAAAATGCATACCAAACTCGGCCGGTGATAAATTTTCAAGACCTCAGTCCTTACTGATTTTTGAACTCGGCCTTCGGCCTCGTTCAAAAATCCAGTAAGGACCTCGGTCTTGAAAATTTATTTACACCGGCCTCGTTCAGTATTATATAAAACTGTTGGCCATAGTATCTGTAGTGGGATCTACGTTCCATGCTGGTCAGGCATTTTGCAAAATGCCTAGTCATTTTGTAAAATGGCTAGCCATTTTGAAAAAAGCCTGGTTGCGTTCAGTCATTTTTCAAACAGCCGTCTTTTTGTAAAATGCCTAGGCATTTTACAAAATGACTGATTTTCTAAAGTGCCTGCAACATATAGGGGAGAGTGGGGCAAAGCGGCCACCCGGGGCAAAGCGGCCATCCATCGTTTTAGCCCTCCACAGCTGGCGTCAGTTCCAATTTATTATTTCCAATTATACTTCTCTTTGCGGTCGTTCGAATGAGCCAGACCGGGGTTTCAGGCCCATCGCCATTGTTCTGTGAAACACGGAAAAGCATTTCTAGCCAGGTTACCAATTATGTTTACAATTTTTAAATGTTATTTTATTCCATAACCGTTTGGAATTTTTATAAGCGTTTTTGTCCATGCATTGCGTGGTTATCGTACATGCCTTCTACCAATTTTAATGCTTTTTACCCCACTAATAGCTGAGCTGGAATATTTTTGTCTCGGACGGTATGCGCGGGGCAAAGCGGCCGGGGCAAAGTGCCCAGCCCCCAATTGGCCATAAGTTGTTTCCATCTGGATAAAAACATTATTTATATTCGAATGTGTCGTCATGCATTCATCTTGGCCACTTTTCGGTTACATGAGTTACCAAATTATGCAATTAAATGTTTTTCCAAGAAAATTCTTTCTTTGTTTAGCAATAGGTGGGAAGATAACAAAGTAAACATCCATCTTCCCTTTAACCTTGTCACCATCAAATACCCTTGCATGAGGCAACTATTCTGTTTCTCATATCGGGACTTGAGAAGTCGCCAGTGGCCGCTTTGCCTCAGGGATGGGGCAAAGTGGCCAATATGCTATAGGTTTAAAGTTTTGCCAATATCTCCCATATGTGAACGCCTTTGGAAATGAAACGCAGTTGGAATAAAAGACAATTTAATAGGGATCACATTGGTATAGAAAGAATCTTTCCAAGTTTAAAAATCAAGCGTCGGCATCGTTAGAAACGTTAGGGTGGCCGCTTTGCCCCACTCTCCCCTACACGGCAGTGGTACGAATCGTTTTCGGCACCCGCTACGCGGGACAGACTTGACCGCACGCTTCCTGTCACGCACCCCAGGTGGCACCGCACTGGTGCGCACGCTGGGGCTATCCCGATTTCTCGGGCCAGGCAGGTCAGAGGGCTGCTCCGGGACATGAAGCGGGGCCGTGCCCTCGGGACATGTCACCGGACCGAATGATCTGTTTAAAGGGACCCTCCCACCTTCAAAAAAGTTAATGAATTGGCATGAAAGTGATGTCGCTCGGTTCAGAAAGAGCAAAAACGAATATCTACCAAATTTCATCGAAAAATATTCACCGGTTTTCAAGATATTAGACTTTTACTTTTGTTTACTTTTTGGGATCTCCGCTGTTCCTAGCGACTTTATTTGAAAGTGCGGCATTTGTTGCGCTCAAAGCGGCATATACCACCGCGTGCTACAAAACGTTTTAGTCAAACATTTAACTGACGTTCGAAAGCCTGATGACGTCATCAGATTCCCGTAATGGTTAAAGGAAATAGTTCACTTTCACGAAATTATTTTTTTTGCAATGGATTTATGATTTTTTATGTTCAAAATGATCAGCAAAGAAAATAAAACCTATTTATAACAAAAGATTATTTTCTATATTTTGATATAGGAAGGACTTTTCAGTTTCTGTAAGGCACAGGCGATCCAGTATGAAAAGAGCATGGGTCCCGAAAATTCTTCAGAAACTAGAGAAATGATCGCGGCCACCGGCATTTGGGTGATCTGCTGCTGCTGAATGTCCTTATTGATCAGTACGAGAATTTCTCTAGAGTTCTCGTAGATAATTTCTCTAGTTTCTGAAGAATTTTCGGTACCCATGCTCTTTTCATACTGGATGCGAATATATGCAAGGCACACATCCTCAACGCAAGACACCTTTTTCGGGACGAGAAATAGAATATCTTTGCCTAGGGTGATCGTTGGGCTGTAAAAGCTCCTGATTTATGCTCGTCTCAGCCCAGGCTACGGAACTGCTATTCCAGTTCAAAACCCATGTTAAAAAGTGAACTATTTCCTTTAAGAGATAGGGACCACGCTGGTCCCACCCTGCAAGTAAAGGGAAGAAATTTCTTGAACACCATAAAGCTGCGGGGGTTGCGACCAGGATAAATGGTGGTTTCTGAGCCTGGCCGCAAACTTGGCTATCTCAACTCAAAACTAATGTTAAGGTGGGAGGGTCCCTTTAAAGGCGGATTAGGCCCGTGTACCTGCGCACAGTGGGCCGATATGCCGTTCTAGCGCGACAGGGCCTGAATCTTCGAACGGAACCCTTGGTTTTTTCAGGGCGCCCCTGTCAGGGCGCTGTCAGGGGCGCCCTGTCAGGGCGCCCCTCTTCTTCTCGGAATGGGGCGCCTCTCTCCTTTTGCTGGGGCGACGCTCCTCTTCAGAGGGACACCTCTCCTGCTGGGGGTGCCCTTCCGCTGCCAGGGGCGCCCCTCTGGCACAGAAGGTATTTTCATTCTTGTAATGAGACGCCCCTCTTGCTGGGGGCGCCCATCTGCTGCTGGGACGACTCTCATCTGCTGGGAATGGGCAATTGGGCGTCGCTCTCCTGCTTGGTGAGCCCAACTTCTGCTGGAGGCGCCCTATTTCTGTTGAACCTTTGCTGTGCCGCCCGTCTTCTGCTCGGGGCGCCCTCTCTGCCGCGGGATATGGGCGCCTTTTTCGGATGGGGGGCTGCCGCCCCCGCCGCCCCCCCCCCTCCTGGATCCGCGCCTGGCTGGCACGGAGGTCAGCCAGGCGCGGATACCGTGGATGACACACACTGTAGCCCTGAGCCCATGTGCTTCTGCCGGGCCCATGTGCTTCTGCCGGCCGTTGCTTCTGCCGGTCACCGCTAGATGCTGTGAACAGCTAGTTACAGTTTTGCTTATAGGTGTCGCTTTTACCAGTCTCTAAATTGCTAAAGGCTTCGATTAAATTGTGCGCCCCCCCTTTTAATGTTCCGTTCGCTTAAATTGCTGTATTGTTTGGACAATTGCATTGGCTATGTGTATATTAAAAAACCATATGTATTCGTTTATTACATTCGATGTTCTCGCCAACATGTGTGCAATACTAGATAACTAAGTTCGTATGTCAAACTATATATGTCTCGATTTTGTGGCGAAAACAAGAGGAATCTGTATTTCACAGTTTCTCTACCGGCGGCGCCAGTCAAAACATCTTGGAGACTTGGACTCACTCCGCACGATCGCTGACACACTGCACGCCACCTCCCACTGCTGACGGTTCAGTGAGCGCAGCAGGGCGGTACGCGGCTGTTCGGCGGGCGGCGGGGCGAACACGGCCCGACAGTT